TCTCAAAAAAAAAAAAAAAAAAAAAAAAGATAGAGGGGCATATTTTCCCCAAAGGCAAAAGAAGATGGAAGCAAAAAGTACCATCAAAAGGATTAGAACTTAATTTCCTTTTATTTCTTGGGTAGAAAGACAGTAGCCTCGGCAGCTGGGGTAGGTGTCCCACTAGGTTTCTAGGAGACCGTAGATGGTTGTAGCCACCCGACAGTAACAGAGCATGAGTGTAAACCTGCATAGGATGTGCCTTTTATCTGGGATTTCCTTCTCTGTTTATTTGTGAGTATGCCGATGAATACTGCCAGTACATTCACGAAGTAAAATAAATAATGAGATTGAAAAAAATCTCACTGAAGAATCTGATCTATAATTTATAGCCGTTCTCAACCTGTGGGTTGCAACCCCTTTGTAACAATGAAAATACATCGCGGCATTGGGAAGGTTGAGAACCACTGATCTAGTAGGTTGTCATTTGGATAACATTGACTGGGGTGTGGGAAATAGAAGAATTTGGAAAGAAAGAGCCCTAAAAGATGAGCAACAAATTATAGCTGGCTTTTGTATCACCGAAGCCTTTCCAGTTGAAATCCGTGACCTACTTTATCTTACATTCTGTTGCCATAGTGCTTGGGTTAAATGTGTAACGGATGAAAATTGATTTCCAGTGTAAATCTTAATTTTTATTGTGCCCTGCAGTGCTGCATGAATGATGCATGTGTGAGAAGTCTCACATTTAGGAGATTCCAGGAGGAGTTTTAAGATTTAAAGTATTATGGCCCTTATCAGTGGTTATTAAGATAATATATTTTCTTCAGCTACGTATCATTTTCTTAAAGAAGTAAATGACTTTATGATATCCTTAGGCACAAAAGAAGCAGACTTTTCTAAATATTTCAGGAGCAGTCCCCAATGTACGTGGGTCACATTGATATTTCCTAAAAAGGAAAACAGTATCTATCTTGGAAAGTATAAGCTTTAAGCTCAAAAACAAATTCTTGTCCCCCAAATGTTTTAATGCCTCATTTGGTTGAAAAATCAATTCCACAGTAAAGGGTGCATTTAGAATTCTCAAAACCTTATCTTTATTAAAAATAAGCCAGCTGGCAAACAATTCCTGTTAATAACGGGATATGCGTGTGAGGTAGAGGTGAGTGGGGGATGGGGGCTGACCAAACCAAAACTAAGGACCAACTTTCCTCAGCATTTTCTGCTAAATGTCACATTGCCTCCTGAAATTGTAAGGCTTTTATTTATTACACCTTAATTTTTAAAATATATGTTTTATGCATTTATGTCTTCTTAAACCTGGGCGTGTATGGGGCCGATTAAACCCCAAACCTGTTCGGCCTACAGAATATTTGCTGTTAATTCTAGCTGTGTACCCAGCATCTATTTCAGTTTGCCTTTTGGAAAGGGGAGCTATTCATTCCTATTGACCTTGTCATATCTCATGTGTGTCCTATAACTGGCACAAGTCACTCACCAAAGTTACTCGCTTGGATCTTACAGGTATTTGATCTTGTCACTTTTAGCTTAAATGTTTTCAGGGGTGGGGCGATAGATAAATGAAAAATTATGTTAAGCACAGTTATTCATCTACATATTATTTGTATGTGGAACCCATGTTGTTTAATATGTTCTAAATCTTTTTTTTTTCTGTTTTCATTTTTGAGATGCGCGTTTTAGCTTTACTGCAGGTGACAAGGGTCTCTTTCAGGCCCAGAGAAAGAAATGAGGAAGCCCTGAGGCTCTTTGAGCATCTCTCTAATTTCTCCTTTCCTAATTGATGGTTGCTGGGGAATTATTAAATTCTTCTCCGTTTGCTTCCCTGTTTCAGTATATCTCCATGAGCTTTCTATTTGTGGGTTTCATGTTCCTACTTCCCAAGACAGAGAATCCAACAATGACAACTACAACAACAACAATAAAATAGCTGGGAGTTGCGGCAGGTGCCTGTAGTCCCAGCTACTTGGGAGGCTGAGGCAAGAGAATCGCTTAAGCCCAAGAGTTTGAGGTTGCTGTGAGCTGTGACAATATCGCTACTGAGGGCAATAAAGTGAGACTCTGTCTCTAAGTAAATAAAGAAAGAATTCAGTAAATGTTGTTTGCTATAATCATAATAATCATGATTGTATTTCCATGGATCCAGTACAGTACCTTTTATGTAGTAGCTTCTCAATAAATATTTGCTGAATGGATATATGAACTAATGAATTTGTCATATACCAGTGTGTGAAATATGTACTTTCGCTGAGAAAATCATCTTTCAGGTGGCACCTTAAAACATTATACTTAGTGGTTAATACTAATATAAGTGTTCCATCTCTTATTTCAAAATTATTTCCATAATGAGATTTGCATTTCAATTAGGCTTTGAAATAAAGAAATATTTTTTCAACCCAGAGTAGCCCTGGATGATCCATTTGTTATTCTTTATAAGGTCCCAGTGAAAAGTCAGTGCTGGCTTTCTTTATTGGCTAGGCAACTTCCAGCACCTGCCACATAAAAAGATATAATTTTTAACTTGCCAGATTTTCTTCTATAAAACCATCAGCGATAGATAAGAGAAATATGTTGTCCTTATACCTGAGAGCAATAAATATTGCATCATTTCTCCCCAACTGGTAAGTATAAAGTGATACAATAGAAACGTTAAGCCTGAAATTCAGATTTGAATCAGACTAGTATAGAATCATGTCATCTGGTTCTTTCACAGAGATAACTATAATGAGATGCACAAAATATTTTGTAGATCTTAGTTCTGGTAGAATATATTGCCTACCTCATCCTCTGTTTTTTTAGCACATTGTCTCCTATGTCATGGGGATAGATATTGTCTCTAGATGATACTTAGATTCTGCTGCTCTCCAAAAGGAACTAGATAGTTTTGGTGCAAGAAAACACTGCTCCAGTATAGAAATGTGCTACCTTTACGATTTTCATTGTTACTAATATCAATAAAAACCTTCTCTGTCATAAGCATCATTGCCTATCATTATTTTTCTAATTTTCCCCCAAGGAAAACAAATTTAAATTCCTACTATTTTAGATTTTCTTCTATTTTCAGTCTTACAAAATGTATTAATATTTCTCAGCTAACTCCTTTGATTATTTCAATTGTAACATTTGTACCTATATACTTAATACTTCAAACTTTTATCTTTCCTATTCTAATTGTTAAAATATTTTTCTAAGGCATAATTCTTTTTAACCTCACCATTATTTTTAATTATTTCTTCTTTTTCTTTTTATTTATTTATTTTTGGCCGGGACTGGGTTTGAACCCACCCTGATGGGCTTTGATTCTTTTGATCTTATAGTTTTCTTTTATCTTCCTTTTATATCCTTGGTTTATAAATTGCCAGAAGATGTATCTAGATAGTTTTTGTCTCTAGAAATATAGAGACAGATTCAAAAGGCTTGTTTATGAACTGGACATAGATGTAATAGAAAAAAAAAGGAATTAATATAGAAACCAAGCATTTTAACCAAAGCAAATGGATGAAAAAGGAGGTGATTAACTATGGAGGGAAAAACCAGGAGAGGAGTATATGGTAAGAGAAAATAGTATCTTCTCTCACCACCATGTAATAAAAGAGCATCTCAATGTCAAAAATGGACATAAACTCAGATATTTTAAAAAAATACTTTTGGTTTTCTGAAAAATTCATTAAATGGTCTATTTTTTTCTTTTCTCTTTTGCAGTGAATTGTTGAAAACTTCCAGCATCTGGAATACTAGCCATAGACAGTGAAAGGGTTTACATTAAATATTTCAGGAAAATTTACTCTGGTATTTGTGTAGAGAATAGATTGAAAAGATTAAAGACAAAAAGTCCAATTAGGATGGAAGCTGTGGAAGCTGATTACAATTTGGCTTAGGTGAGGAAGAAAGATATAAGGTTGAGGAAGTTGTGCCTGAAGTACCTGAATGTTTTTGTAATACAGAGGAATCATGTGGTAGAAGATTTTTTTTTTAAAGAAATGATAATTTGATGGGGCGGCACCTGTGGATCAAAGGAGTAGGGTGCTGGTCCCATGTATAGGAGGTGGTGGGTTCAAACCCAGCCCTGGCCAAAAATTGCAAAAAAAAAAAAAAAAAAAAAAAAGATAACTTGACGAATTAAAAATGACATCTAGCTTTTTATTAGGCATACTTAATCTTTATGAGCTTCAGAAGAGTCCCTTTCAACCAACCTGTTGTCTTTATGAAGTACCGTTATTTTATTTAGAATGACTTTGGAATCCACGCTACTCTAAAGATTTAGTTACAATTAAATTAAATTAAAATAGTAATTTGTGAATGCATTAAACACATTAAATATTTTCTTCACCAATGAGATAATGAGTTTCTTAAAAGAGTGCTGTTTCTTTTTTGTGGGGATAACCTGTTGTTTTTGAGAGAACAGCTCACACCAACACTGCTGGTTTCCCAGCCACCTTTACAGGGTTCTTCTGCAACCGGGGCAATGTGATGTCATCCGATTTTTCAAAGTATTCCATGAAATAACAGACGGGTAAACGAAAAGGAATTCTAGACGTGTTAGGTCTATATTTCTCTTAATTTTCCTTCAATGCTCTCTGGGCTGAGTACGCACCGTGGGTAGTAACCATATATTCTATGAGTTAATCGAGGCAGAGGGACGGTAGAGTTTTCTATTTTGAAATTCTGAACGCTTGAATTTGGGGAGTCTGGCACCAGCTTCGAAGTGGAATGTCAATAAAGTTTTGTTAATTAAAAAGAAAAGCTCCCACTGGACTACAAATCCCGTCGCCCCTCGACGTATTAGTTGTCACGTGGCTCGTCAGGACTCAGGAAGTCTGGCCCGCTCATCCAATCACGCCAGGAAGCCTATGCAAGGCGCCGCGCTGGCCAATCACGGGGAAGCTTGCTCCGCGCGGAACGCTGACGGGTCGTTAGCGGATACGGAGGTCGCGGGGGCGGGGCCGGAGCCTCTGCCCGGCTGTGCGTCCGGCTCTGAGGCCCGCGGTCTCCGCTCCCGCTCCGCCATGGCTCCCAAAGGTGGCTCCAAGCAGCAGTCGGAGGAGGACCTGCTCCTGCAGGATTTCAGCCGTAACCTGTCGGCCAAGTCTTCCGCGCTCTTCTTCGGGAACGCGTTCATCGTGTCAGCCATCCCCATCTGTGAGTGCTAAAGCGAGGCGGGCGGGGAGGCCGCGGCGGGCCGGGCCGGGCTGGGCTGTGCCGGGACGTGGCCGGCCCGGGAGGGCGGGCGGTCTCCCCAGCTCTCCGGAACTCGGGGAGGCACGGTGCCTTTCTGGGCCTCGGTGTTCTGCTCGGGGATTGCTGTGGGCGACTTCTCTGGGAAGTGACTTGTGGAGCGTTTTAAAAGTACGGAGGTTTCTGAGCCCCACCCCCCGGAGATTGAGGGTCGCAAGTGCTGGGCTGGCGTTCCGAATCTGTATTTATAACACACTCGAGTTAGGTACTTGTGCTAGCCCTAGCGTGCTTCCTTCCTGCTGTCCTTTTCAATACAAACGTTGTTCACGGTTATGAAGTCTTACACTTAAACATCATTATCTTGGGGAGAAATTAATGAATTAGGAGAGCGAGTCGCCAGGTCACCCACTGGATTAGTAATGTGTCTTCACGTGAACTGCCTCACACAGTTGGGTATCATTTCCCTAAAATGAGGGAGGTTGAATCTCATTACGTTAAAATGAACAGTCTACCTTAGACGTTTTAATAATCTGCGAGACCCATTCTAGAACTCTGACCTGGGTGGGAAACTGCACACTTACCCAGGGTCATTTTTAGAGCCCAGGGTTCCTAAATTTGAATCTCGTGTCTTTCACGCTGCTTCGCTCGTGTGGGGCAGTGAAATCCAAATGTGTTTTCTCTTTTGTCCTTATAAAACCCAGCGTGCAGTTAACGTGGCGTGCAGCTCTCTGGCTCACTGACTCGACAGAGCACTGCCTGGATTTCAGCTAGCAGCCACGTCAGCAAGTAAACCGTAGTTTGGGACTACTGCACGTGGCTGTTTTGGAACGACATGTATTTACCATAATGCTACCCTGATGAATGAAATTTGAAGTCTAAATTGTGATTTTCTTGAGCCTGTTCTTATTTTAGAAGAAGCGGGATCTCATCTGGACTAAGAGGAAGGTTATGTTTTTCAATTTTTCTGAATTGGGAAAGCTTGAGAGTGTAACTTGTTACTGGCTGTCTCATCTCTGACATCCCAGATACTGTATTGGTTTCCCTGACCCCAGCTATCTTTTACCAGGCTTTGGTTATGGAGCAGTAATGTTTTGTTTCTTTCTGTACCCTTCCCCCCTAATTCAGGGTTATATTGGCGAATATGGCATATGGATCTTATTCAGTCTGCTGTTCTGTATAGTGTGATGACCCTAGTAAGCACATACCTGGTAGCCTTTGCATACAAGAATGTAAAATTTATTCTCAAGCACAAGTAAGTATGTTTTCTATTGCATTTTTGTATAATGGGATCTTTTCTTAAAAATCGTTTGTATGTGTGTTGGTTTCAATAAGCATTAATTTGAGGGGGGTGTGTGTGTGTGTGGTTGAGGAGGGGAAGGCACAGTGATACTAGGAAGAATTGTTAACTGAAGCAGAGACAGTAATCAGTCTGACACATTACCACGGAAGTAGATTTTGAGGGCAGAATTAGAACAATTAACTGTAGCCTTAAGTTAATGGGAGGTTCATCAGAAAAACAACCCCAGCAAGTAAATTAGCATTTCAGAAGTCAAATGGAATTCTTACCACACCTATGGTGCATATTGCAAGGGTACATGTCAAATTTATTAAGTGTAGAGTATAAATGTCTTAACACAGTAATTGAGGTGAAAGCTATGTTAACCAATTTTATGTAAGCATTCCAAATTGTATATAAAATCAGCACACTGTACCCCATAAATACATTAATGTATACAGTTATGATGTAATAAGGAAAAACCAAGTGGAATTCTTTCTGAAGAGAATTGTCTTGGGCTCTTCATGTAATATTTTTGAAAGTGAAAGATATGGTCTTTTTAAAATTTGACACTTTCAATGCTAATTTTTTCCTACAGGTGTATAAAATGTAAAAGATAACCATATTTACTCTATTTTAAGATCACATGTATTATAAAATGTATAATTATTTTAACAAAAGTTTTTGGAGAAGAAGATCCAAGCCTCATTACAATGAATTTATACATTATTCAAAAGTAATTATATACTCCAGTTTTATCAGGGTTAAAATGTAGGGAAGTCTGGACTTTGGAAAGATGATATAACACTTATTTCTGAGTGTCATGATCTTCACTGGAAATATTTATACATTATTTGACTAGAAGAGGCACTGTTTGAAGTTGTTTTCATGAATAGTTTGATACTTGATCAGAGATAACAGGATATTTCTCTGCTTTCTCAGTGGGTCTTCTAGGTGCTATATATTTTTTGGAAGTAATTTCTTAAAAATGGTCGGAATTATATTGAGACTGGAAGTGCCAGTGTGCTTTGTACCTTCATCATCTTTTCATTTCCAAATTCCCACTTTAGTTCAGACACTGTTTTTATTTGGATTATTGTAGCAGTTTCCATCTGGTCTCTTAAAACAAAAGTTGAAGGCCTGCCTTGCCATGTACTTTTTAAAGCATGTTACTCTATGTAATCCTTACAGTCTTCCATACAAGGTGCAAATATTGTCTTTGTTTTATGGGATGAAGAGTCTGTATTCTTCTTTATCTGGCATCATTTTACCATATCATTCTCTTCGCACATCATGGCCATCTTAAAATGCATTAAAGCTGAATTCTTCTAGACCTTTGCAATGCAAGTCCTCTGTCTGCTTTCTGTGAGTCTGTACTTCTCTTTTAGATTTGGGCCTTAGCTTTTCTGACTCGGCCTTCATGTCATCCTTTGAATATACCCTCCTCCATTTAGGATTATTTTCCTCCCATTCCATTCTTACATATCTGTTGTTTTGAGACTTCTAGGAATCTTTTCCTGAAAAATCTTCCCAACTTTGATCATTCTTTTGCTTTTTTGAGCTTTGTTTCCTGCATTAGACTATTTATGGAAATGAGGAAAAGAAACCTATTGAGATGATCTCAGTTAACAGGAGTGGCTATGGATCTCAGTGGCAGTTTCCCCATTGTCATTCCACATAGGACCTCAGGTATTGTGGCTGCAGTTGTGATAGACCAGCAGAGTGATTGGGTCATCTTTGTCTCAGCAGCCTCTCTACCACAGAGGGGCTTTTCAGTCTTTTTTATCTCATTGCACTCTTGAACCTATAGTTAAACTTCTGTGGCACACTTAAATTATGTTGATCAAAAACAAAAAATAAAAAGAAGAATAAAAAAGAATATACTTTGCTTTGAACTTCTTTTGAAAATAATGATCTTTAAACATTTTTGTGGCACACCAAAGATCTTCTCACAGCACACTGGTTGAAAATCACTCCTGTACCAGTCGCCTTTCTAGGCTTCAGCCCATTTTGGCTTCTGCTGTTCTGGAAACATGGCCATCTGTGGACAGAGAAGTGGGGATCTTGCATGACCCATTGGGATTGCCTTGGAACTTAGTCCCTTTGATACTAGCTATTAATGTTTGGAATCAAAATCATCCTCAAACCAAAGTCACCTCCTTGATATCAAAATCATCAAATCAAAGTCATTTACTTTCTCATTTCTACTTTATGCTTCTTGAGGGCAACTGCCATACTATGTATTTATTTTATCTTTATAATAGTTAATGGTATGTTCAGTAAAATTTCAATGACTTACTGACTTAAGATTCTCAGAGTAGAATTTCTTTTATTTAGTTATGGTTTTGTTTTAATTTTAAATATTGCTCCTTACTGATATGGAAACTCCTACAGATTTGCAAGACAGTTGAGGCTCAGAGACACAGCAAGATGCGGGTAGGTTTGATAGTAGAAGGAAGATGGCTTTGCAGTTGACAGTCTAGATTCCAGCTCTGCTACTCTTAAGTGTTTGGCCTTGTTTTTTAACCTATGTCAAAAATAGCATTTATTTTACCTCTGTCAACCTCGATTCCTGAGTTATAAAATAGAGATACCAGTAGTTCTTCAGAAGGTGATGAGGTTTAAATATGATCATGCCTGTGACATGTTAAGCATAGTGTCTGGCATGTAATAAATATGTATGTGCATGGTTGGAGAGGTTGAGGGTAAGAGAGCTCTTAGGAATTTTTGTAAATTTTGTATATTTAAACAGTATGTACAAAAATGTGGTTGTTTAAAGTAGATTTTTTTTTTATTCTGTAAAAGTTCTGATACACTGATATAAAAGAAGAAAAATATAGTTGATTTTTGTGGGTTATCTCAGGTGTCTAGGTGCTAGGTCATTAGAGTGACCTCAATCCAATTTTAGAGCATTTAGCACTGAGTGATGTTTATTTTCTAAGAGCCCTAAGATAGAGGGCAGGGCTTCTTGAGTTGTGGTAAACCTTTGGTATGGTTGTTAGGCCTCTGGTAGGTAAGCATAAAATTCTAGACCTAGAAGAGGAATTAATTAGTTATCTGGTTTAGTATTTTGGGGAAGATTTATCCTGTGGACAGTTAGGTGATTGTTTGTCCTGAAGATGTGTAAAGATAACCAACCCTTTTGAAAATACAGTAGTTGATTCTTGTGTCCTAACAGCGTGACTTGGGGCAGGGAGGAATATGACAGTGTGACTGGGGGCAGGGAGGAATATGTTTATTTTTTATATTCAGCTAAGACAGTTTGCAGCTGTAAACCACGTTCATTTCTTTGTATTTGATCTTTTGTAGAAAAAGTTGTCTGATGTTAAGTTCAAGAAACACTTAGTGTTTAATTACTTAGTGCCTGTCTGTTTGAGAGGTTCAGAAGAAAGAATCTCACCCTTTGAAGCCTAGTGCCTCAAGAATAAAGAAAGCATCTGAAAAGATGGTTTCTGCATGTTAAAATGAATCAAGTGAATTTGCATCTTTGGAGTAAAAAGTACACTGTAGTGTCCTAAACTATTTCTTAAAAAGATAGCTGTCTGCCCCTTTGTCATTTCCTCTTATTATTTTTTTTTTAATTTAAGAGCAACTAGTTTTCTTCCTTCTAGTTATCAGTTTCTGTAGGGGTAACAAAGTAAAAAAGTAACTCTGTAAGCCTTTAAAAACTATATTAGCTTTCTTTGCAAAAATGTCCATTCTAGCTCAGTTCTTGAGTAAGAGCTAGCGATAGAAACATAGGTGAAATCAGCTATTTTTTGTGTTTAGCTTGTATCGCAGAAGCTCTCGTGGTTAGAGAAAGATTGAAAACTACTGCCTTGAATGATACTGGGCTTTCTTTCCCAGAATTCATACAGATTTCTCCAGTTTTCTTCTGTGCACTGACTAGATCTAAATACAGCGTAGTAATGAGGGGTTGACTGTGTTCATGTGGAGTGGACAGGTTCTATCTCACGTTCAGCATCCTTTTGGGATATGTGTTGAGTGCTGCCATGGTGGGTCTGTGTAGGTAATTTGTTAAATTTTGCTTGTGGTCAGGTAACTACTTTTTAATCTGTGGCTAACCAGTTTCTCCTATATTATGAAAAATATACATGTTGATTTAACTGTCGTGGTGTATGTGAGTCTTTTTTTATTACATCATAGTTTACATTTTATCTTCTTTCACTAGCTTCCCCATCTGATAAAATATATTTGTAGATTCTCTTGATGAGTATAAATTTAGGTTTTTTCTTCATCTGACTTTCACTGAATATTTCAGTGTGAATTCTCAAGTAATATTTTTAAACTTTTCTGACTGATTCCATATTAACTTTTGGTGCAACCCATAAACCAGTGTTCAGTTAAACAAAGTGGGGTGGTCAGTCTGTGACTATGTGATATTATTACTTTATAGTGAAATTGTCCTTTGGAGTGGAGTTAAAAGCACTATTTTAAGATATTTCAGTTATTTCCTTTTTGTTTAATAAGCCTAGTTTTCTTTCCTGTTATTTACTTGAATCAGAGTCATTAATTATCTGCTAATGCCTTTTGAAATTTATTTGTTGAACAGTTAAATTATAGGGTAAAACAAAACATGGTTATTCATAATTAAATTACGATAATAGTGTTTGACTTGTATATATTCATGTTAAATCCCTAAACATTGGGAAATTCTCCCTTTTAAGGAGAAATAAAAACACATAACTAATAAACCACATCTTGGAAGTTTCCCGAACAATTCTCTTTTGCTGAGTATGGTAATTAAGTTGGAACTTTTTGTCCAGCTTATTTTCTTGAAAGGTAAAGTATTCAGTTGCTAAACAAAATCTGAGTACAGAGTGTTTCTGAGCGAGTGTGATGTTTACCCTGTAGCATGTGGAAACTTTTTTTCTTTTCCTTCCAGAGTAGCACAGAAGAGGGAGGATGCTGTTTCCAAAGAAGTGACTCGAAAACTTTCTGAAGCTGATAATAGAAAGATGTCTCGGAAGGAAAAAGATGAAAGGTTTGACACCTTATTTGAAGTGTTTGTGATAATAAAAAAGAGGGTACTGTGGAGAAAGTTTCTGATTTCTGATTGGACAGTGTGGATATTGAAATTGAGGTAAATTTTAGAAGTATAGAAGTTGTAGTAATAGGAATGGTAATAGCTGACTTTGGGAATTTTTATTACTAGATTCTTTGAGCTAAACAATATTGGATTGATTCTTCTAAAGGGCCTTATGGGGTAGGTAAGCCTGTCTACGCAGGAGGAGACTAAGGTTCAGAAAGCAAGGGTCCTTGATGAGAACATAGGCAGGGTCTGACTTGACAGCGTGGACCTGTAATTGCTCTGCAGGATTCAGGAGGCAGTGGAGCTTCGCCCAGCACTAGGTTTGTAAAACTGTTGCTGGCTGTGCAGCCTTTGAGTTTACTAACCCGCTGGGTCTGAAGGCTTTAGGGCACGTGGTGTGTTAGCTGCCTGTGTGGTGATATTTCTGTTTGTGCACTTCCCGAGTACTTGGGGATCTGCATCGGTTGGGAAAAAGTAAAGAACTGGGTTTCTCTTCTTTTTACCGATTCTCTGTCACATTTGTTAGCTCCTACTCCCATTTTTTCCTGTCAGCTCCTTTTAGATGGCTTGTTAGACAATTTAACATCTGCGTTGCAGAAGTTCCTGAATGATTGAGTGAACTTGTGCTGAAGAGTTGCCCTATAGTTTTAGAGTCATGAGTCCAGTGATTTTCATGGGTTTTTAATTTTAGTTTAGAAAGCTGAAGCTGCTTGGTGGAACAGAATTTTTACCCCTGCTTTGCTTCAGAAAGACTTTGTGGAAACTGGCAACATTAAAGTGCTTCTGTTTATTATTATTATTATTTTTTTTTTTTTTGAGACGGAGCCTCAAGCTGTCACCTTCAGTAGAGTTCTGTGGCATCACAGCTCACAGCAACCTCAAACTCCTGGCTTTAAGCAATTCTCTTGCCTCGGCCTCCCAAGTAGCTAGGACTACAGGCACCCACCACAATGCCTGGCTATATTTATTTATTTATTTATTTTTTTAGACAGAGTCTCACTATGTCACCTTCAGTAGAGTTCTGTGGCATCACAGCTCACAGCAACCTCAAACTCCTGGGCTTTAAGCAATTCTCTTGCCTCGGCCTCCCAAGTAGCTAGGACTACAGGCACCTGCCACGACATCTGGCTATTTTTTTTGGTTGTAGCTGTCACTGTTGTTTGGCAGGCCCAGGCTGGGTTTGAACCCGCCAGCCTAGGTGTATGTGCCTGGTGCCCGTAAACACTGTGCTATGGGTGCGGAGCCTAAACCGTACAATTTTAAAAGACCAGAACCATTTCTAAAAGAAGAAAAGGTAAATGAACAAGGATTTTAGAGTTAGTTACAGCATTTGAACCCCAAAGTTAGTTCTGAGCTTCCAAGTGCCAGGTCACATCTGAGGTCACATAGCTTTCATTGTCTAAAGAAAAGCCGTGTGCAGGTCCTTCTGAAAAGAAACTTTCCTGGCACAGAGTCTTGGAAAGACTTTATCAAGTGGATCCTTATTTAAGGGACACTAAGTAACCTAATGGACAATGTCTTCCACAGTGGTTTGGGAAAGGCACCAACACATTATTGAAATGATTATCTCCTATGGATTCTTTATAAAACTAAAGATGCAGTAGTAAAATTAAGACAATGAAGGCCTTTTTTCAGGGCAGGTTTAATGAGGTCTGGCTGCATAGCTTTCTGATTGCACATTTTTACACAGCGATTTAGGTTAGGGAATCTAGCTCATTTAAAGAAAAGTCTTTGTTTTGAATTACTGCGTTCATTAGAACGATGTTTCTTAAACTGGGGCATGCATCATAGTTACCCAGATTCAAAATGCTCATTTAGCTCCTTTACAGCCAAGCTTGTTGACTTTGGATTAGAACATTTGGTAAATAAAATGTGTCAATCACCAGTAACATTACCCATAGGCTGTCCTTGAGATTGGGGGAAGGGAGTGTCATCTGCATCCAGAGTAAAGCTATCTTTCTGGGGACAGTCTTTGAACCTTTTTTTTTTGATAATAGCCCATGATAAGAAAAATATATTTTTACCTTTTGACCAAATATATTCATACATGTGCCCATGAAAATGTTTCACAAAACAGTATTTATCCTCCTGTGTGTGATACACTCTTGATGTTTTTCTGTTCTTTCCTATTTATGTGAAAAGTACGCTGGTCTCAACCCACTCAGTTAATCTCCCTGGACATTTGATCCACTTGATTGAGTTCAAGTCCCACTAATGGGTCACAACCTACCCTTTTAAAAACTGCTTTACAAAGTTAATTAACCAGGAGGAATAAAAGCTCCCTTATTCACAGGCACCCTGGAACTTCTTTTTCCTGTATAAAAGATTGATAAAGTAAGTTAAGACAGAATTTCAGAACCAGTAAAATAGAGCAAATACAAAGTAAAGGGGTTTTACAAAGTGTTAGAAAAGTTCTTCTCATGATGAAGCACATTGTTTGTTTTAAATAAAAATGGCTGACAGTAGTCTGCTTCCTGAGACCACTGCTGGTGTCTGTTGTGGGGATTGTGTTCGTAAGGTGGATGTTATGAAAGGCTGTAGAGAGTCTCAAATCAGAGTGCTGCCCAGGAACCTCCATTACGCTGCTGACCGTCGACTTGGCATTTTAGGTGAGGGCTCAGAAGAGGGTCACTTGTTGGAGCTGCTGATGAAACTGTGTCAGTTGCACACAATTAATCAGCCCTTTCCTCCCCAGCCCTGGCTGCCCGGGAAAAACGGTAACTTAAACAGCAACTATTTTCTTTAGTAGCAGTAATGAGAGTGGCATATTTTTTTTTAGTGGAAGGAAGGGGACCATCCTGACTAAAGTTAATATTAAAAACACATTCTCACCTTAGAACACTTAAGGAAAAACTTGCCATAACGATCTAGCGTCATATGGTACTTAAAGTTTTTAATCCTATTTATAAATTTGTTTGACTTGTTTCTGTGTCTGTAGAATCTTGTGGAAGAAGAATGAAGTTGCCGACTATGAAGCGACCACATTTTCCATCTTCTATAACAACACTCTGTTTCTGGTCTTGGTCATTGTCGCGTCTTTCTTTATACTGAAGAACTTCAACCCCACAGTGTATCCTTTTCAAGGTTGATCATCTTTTTTAGAAGACTAGAAACACTAGTTAGTTTCGATTTCAATTTGTCTGGGTATTTTAGTAGGAAGAAAAATCGCTCTGAGAATCAGTCTATTAAATAGCACTGACTTTAGGCAAGTTTCTGGACGTTTAGAATAACTTTTGGTTTGATTTAAAGTTCTTTTAAGTTTATGCGTTGTGACTTTATAATAAGTAACAAGTATTTCAAAGTAGTCTTATATATATGATTATGTATGCTTGCCTACTTAAAAAAGACTCCAGAGAGCCAAAATAAACTTGCCTGTGATAGTTTTTGGAATAAACCCTATTTCTACTATTGTTTTTGGCTTTGGAGTAGGGTAGGTGGCCAGTTCAGTTAAACAGGTACCACGGTACCTTAGCAGTATTTCAGGCTGCTTTCAAATTGAGCTTTTGAGCAGAATCTTTCTTCTCCTATTACGGTGTTAATTTATTAAAAGTGTTATCCAAGAATGCACAGCCAAACTTTTAACAGTTGGAGGTTATGATGTAATAAAACATGAGACACCCTCAAATTTGTATCTTCTGAGAATACGGGAATGGTTGGCTAAAAATGGCACAGTTCTGATGCCGGAAGTAGCTGTAGCTTTTGAGAACCTTCTTGTTGTTACCAACCAGTTGCAGAAAAACTTCGTGAAAAAGGAAATTGAGTCTCTCCTCCCCATTGTTCTTTGATTAGCTCCTCTCATGAAGGTTACATGGAATTCATGTGTTCTTTATGATCATGGGCTCTAGTCTCTGTCTTAAGTATTTTATTTTTAAAATTGGAACACATATCCTGTGAATATTTTCCATTCTTCATGGTCTTGGGTTCGACAAATTGTGTTTGCATTCAACTGGTCTTCACAGCATTATGATTATACCATGTATCAGGAAGAATACAGAAATTCCAAATAGATGGGCTTTATTTTGTTGAAAGACTGACTTTGGGCTCTTAATTTCTCCTTGACATTAAATCCCTACAGGAACTATATTTTGTCCATAAGTGCTTCATCAGGACTCATTGCCCTCCTGTCCACTGGCTCCAAGTAGACCACGTCAGCCTCGCCCCCGGGCTTTCTGTCTGTGCGTGGCCTGTGGAAAAGTGGAAGAGTGGTCAGGATGGGAGACACACAAGTGTTTTTATAACCTGGAGTTTGAGGGTTTAAAAACCCAGCAGAATGTAATACAGTATTTGTTTATTGGCTCTTTTTAATATAATAGATTGTTGATATTAAGTGAATTGAAAGAGAAACTTAGAGTACCCAGGACATTTATTATTAAAAGGCAAAACGTGTCTTGCAATGTGCTATAATCACAGGAGGAGAAAATAACTTGTTTCCTTGATCTGTCAGAGGTCACAGTAACCCCGGCTGAGCTGTTATTTAAAATAGTAGCAAGGAGTTATTAACTGGTTCTCTGTGTTCCAACCATAGGATTATAACTTTTTTGAGCCACAAATATCAGAATGAAATCTTCTTTCCAGGGGATTGAACAGAAGGTTTATGTTTACAAGTCTCTGAATTTGTGATTTCAAATAACACAAAGTTTAAAACACAATTTCCCCAACTTGGGGCAGAGAAATTTGTGGAAAAGTTCTTTTTTTTTCCCCTATAAAGAAGAAAGGAAGCCAAAGTAGTAACCTAAAAATAGTGCGCAGGCATATGAGAGTTGTCCTACAGGGTTAAAGCACATAGTGTTCAGCCGTATGGCTTTGGCCCTGGGTGGCCAGAGAGGTCATCTTGACCCTGCTATGTTGGTTTGACTTAAGACACAGGATTCATTGTTTGCCTGGACCAGGGTCTCACATCTCTGGAAGAATGTTAAGTAAGAGAGAGAACCTCTTTCCTGAATATTGACATGTAAAAGACCAAAGTAATTTATGTGATCTTAATTCTGGAATTTTAAGAACTCTGAGGAAGTTATAATTGTGACTTTCATAAATTCGGCTGGTTCACAGGTTCTCATCAATAGTGAACAAAGCTTTGATCTCTTCAGCCCTTGGGTCCAGCCGAGAGCAGTCTTTTGGCATTTTTAACTAATGTGTATTTGGACACCATTATTTTCTGTGTGCACCATGACATTAAAAGGTCTGGGAAGTTCCTTAACCTATCTATATACCTTTAACAGGAAACCACAGGTGGTAACAGTTTTGTATTCCTATTATCTTTGACCACATCCAGTAATTTCCTAAAAGCTGTACCTCAAGGAAATATATTCCTGATCTTTAGTTTCTGTTCTGTTAATAAATTTAAGATGAATGTTATAAATGTTATTAGTTTTATTTATAACTTAAGGAGATTCACTGCAAGGTACAGTTAGGGCTACACATAAGTATTTTTTTTTTAACTTTTGAGGAAAAGCCATTCAGTATGTTGGTGGCATGGAGTTTTTATAGGAGTTGCTTTTGCTTATTTGGCAAAATGATCTTTTGATAAACCATCAGTGTCTATTATTTGTTACCAGAGCTGGGGCAATAGCCTTGTAAGTTACTGGTGAAAAGTTGCCACTAGATGGCAGTGCCTGCAGAGATGGGGGAAAATTTGCCACCATTCTTCCTACGTGTATGATACAGGGTAGCTTGCTTAGGTGGGTTGGTGAACTAGGTTATCAGCCCAATATTCTCAATAGAATTTCTCTTGAATTAATAAACTGAAAATTTGTAGGAAAGTAAGTAAAATTTGTTTTCTGTCCTGAGTTTCTCCTGTATTACTGTTTTTAATCCTGATAATGTTTTCTTTCTGTACTGCTAGATAAATCTCTGTGCGTAAGATGATAAGGTGTATACTCAACAGTTCAATAGTTTTTATTAAATATTTACTATACTAGTACTTTACTCCCAAGAATTGCAGAACCTTTTCCTTTGTACTCTCCCCATCTTGTTTGTGGCACAAGAAATTATGGTATGTTCAGTCTGATTTAAATAGTAAAAACCTGCTATAGAATTTTTATCTTAAAAATACCTTATACCCAATAGCAGTAAAAGAAGATTCTGTTGTAATTGGGATTCAAAGCAATTAATTTCTTTTTTTCACACTTCCATAAGTGGAAGCTTAAAGTGTTAGAACATTGTCCTTTACCTATTTTTAACTTCCTCATTTACAACTTAATAAAAATCTTGGATTGAAATATTTTTTGCCAGTAAAAATTTACTGGTTGTATTTGTATATTATTGCAACTTGGAAAGGATCGTTTGAACAAGTTTTGATGTTAACTGCAATATGGAGATTGAATTTATAGTTAGAATTCTCATGAGAGGTTTTGTTTAACAAGTATGATTAAACTTTACTTTTTAAAATTTATATTTTCCCTGGCTTCTTTATAAGAACGTGTGAGTAAATATATCATCTTTATACTTTATTTCACACTAACCATGAGTTTACTTTTCTACACGTCAATGTGTATTTTTGTAGTTACTGATCAGATATCTGTGAGGCGCTGACAGGCTTTGAGCAGTTACTGTGAAGAGTGGATCTCAGGCCTCTGTGGGGTGGGGGGGTGGAGGGTCGGGGTGGGGAGTCTGCCTGCTGGCCTATTTGTAGTGTGCCTGCAGACACTGCTGTTTCTGGAGACTCGGGAAAATGTGCATTCTTGTACATGTGTGGAGAAAACTAATTTACAGATGTATCACTCCTGAGGCTGTTTCCTGCCTCCTCGGGTTTGCACCCAAGTAGGTGCAAACTGAAGGTTAGGAGGGTCTTTTGAGTGGTTGGTGTAGATTCTTAGGGAAATGGTTAAAAACTCACTTATTCTTGTTGGCCTTCATGACTTTTCAGTGTATCTTTTCCCTCTTGTCTGATTTCTTAAAAATTTGGGTTCGTACTTAAGCTTTTTTAATTTAAAAATTCTCACAGTTTTTAAACTTAAATAGAAAAGACAGTTCTCTGTAAAGGGACACCAGACTGGAACATAAATTACTTGGGTTTTGCCATTAACTAGCAGCATGGGTTTAGGTAAGTTTTCATCTATCTGGGCCCACTTTACTCATTGGTTACAGAGGGACGGCTTTGCAGATGGCTAAGGTTCCTTCAAGCTCTGGCTTCCGCCCCATGATGTTGGCACTCTCTCCACGAAGATGAAGTGACAGTTCTTACAGTGGGAAGCCAGGCACAGGATTTCTAGTTTGCATTTCTTGTACCTGAGATCTCAGTATAGGGATGGCTGCTATCCAGGTTACCTTTTGGAATAATACGTTCTCCGCCAGGGAATTCTTTCCAAAAGAGAAAAGACAGAGTGCATGGAGATTATTCCTAAGTGTGTGAGTGTGAAATGTATTATCTAAGGTATTTACCATTGCAGGTAATTTGCATATAAAAATAGGCTATTCCCACAGCGAATAATAATGTGTATATTTGGTTTTGATTTGCAGGATTTTTTTTTCTTAGTACTTTTGAAAAGCTTTAGCCTTAGTGCAGAGTATTCCAAAACCCATTGAGAAATGATATCGTCAGTAGCTAATTATATTCTCTGTTAATACGAAAAAAGATAGGATTGCAATTATGTCTCTGTCCATCACTGCTATTTCTGTCAGTTGTTCAAATTATCTACCAACATAATTTTTATTAAGATTCTTGCCTGTTTTATGGCATATGTGTTTTGTATGTATATTTTGTACATAAGAAATCTCTTCTACAATGAAAGATCAGATAAAAACTAACGTGAGATTGGATGCACAAAATGTTTTTATTACTCTAAGCAAGTAAGTTAAGTTGCATTTCCCAGGAGACAGCCCCTCAGCTCATTTATACATACAGTGGTTCATTGGTTTGAATACACAATGAACAACCGAAAAAATTATCCATTTCCATCATTAATCTGACATTCTTGGGCAAAAAAAGGTCCAAACTTCTATTAGAATACAGGTAGTAGTAATCAAAAAGAAAATGTGTTAATATCGTCCACTGACATTTTAAGAATAGAACTTAATCTTAACATACATACTGGACAGAAAATAACATTTTAAAATGATATATTCTGTAAATTTCAAAATAATTTCTATATGGGGAAACTGACCAGAAAATTAGAAATTTTGTCCATCCTATGATTTCTACATAAGAGTTAAAGGACCACCCCCATCTCAAGAAAGAAAAACATGTTTTCTCCCTTTTTACAGATAGCAGCACACACTGTGTAGTCTCACGATTGTTCTGAAGTGGGTAGAAACATAGGTGAGTAGCCGGTAGCGGCAGGGCTAGGTGTCCCTCAGATGCTGAGTGCACCCTTTAATCCATGCAGAGAACATTCATGCGTATACAGTTCTTAGTGCATATGATATGATTATAGAATCGGGAGGTTCTTTAACATTTTGCTTTTTACTGGGCAAGTTAATTCACCTAGCATAGTCTGAGTAGTAGCAGCACTTTTCGTAAAGCTTATGGTTCACTTCACGTTAATAACTCCTCCCAAATAGTAAGCATTATATTGAAAGTCCAGTGCTAATGAAGCTGAACGTCGGCCTCTCTAGGTATTTTACAGGTTTACTTACAAAATTGAGCATGTGTATATTTATTTTTAAAGCTCAGATATTGAAACTTGCAGAAGTTATGCCTATAAGCAGTTGAACTATAAAGCAAGTTTTAATAAAAGGTAAAAAAAAGATGATTGCAGATACATTATGATTTATTCAAAGCTAAGTTCCCATAGCAGTGTAACCCTCGCTTCCATAGATTGGCCATAATGTCTCTATATGTGAGTGGATAACATTATTGGAATTCTAATAACACACTGGATAAATTGTTGTACAGGGCCATTTCGGGTCCAAGCAATAGTAAGTATTTGAAAGGTAATAACGCAGATACCTAGACATTTTTGTTTTGTTGAATGACCAGTGAAACAAAACTTGCTAATATGAATGTGAAGATAGGAAAAAAATGTAAAATTGTTTCAGCTTATTGTCCCAAGCAATACTTCCGGGTGAAGATAGCCTACTCTGTTTCTTATACATTCAAGATGCATCTGTGTATTTTGTTCTTTTGAAAAAATATATCTGTACAGCCTTCTTTAAGTTACCAAGTGCCCGAAGGCAACACATCTTTCCCCGTATTCTCTCCATTGCATCAGCATGAGCTGTACAGAGCAATGCAAGAATAGGTGATTCCAGTCCAAGGTAAGAAAATAGAACAGAGTTTCTTAGTTGTGAGTTTTCAGATGTGCACAGTGGTAGCAACAGCAGATACCTCAGAGAATCCAGGGACACTAGAGGTTGAGCAGCGGGCTGCTAAGTGATTGAAAAGCCTGGCTAGTAACACCTCTCTGTACTGGGCGCAGCCGCCGTTGTGACCATGCAGCTTCTGCAGCTCATGCACTGCCTACGACCTGTAGTCCTTCTTGCTGTAGGGCTTGTTGCGTAGTATGTTGTCAATCTCATTTACCACGTGCGACGTCATCTTTGGGAGGACCTGAGAGCAAGAGGAGAAGGACAAAGGATGTGGTCAGTGCTGTTTGTGTTAGTGCCGTTTATTGTTCTTGTTCTTTTTTTTGAGACAGAGTCTCAAGCTGTCATCCTGGGTAGAGTGCCGGGGCGTCACTGCTCATAGCAACCTCCAACTCCAGGGCCTAAGTGACTTTGTTGCCTCAGCCTCCCAAGTAGCTGGGACTATAGGCGCCTGGCTATTTTTTGGTTGCAGTTATTGTTTGGCAGACCGGGGCTGGGTTTGAACCTGCCAGTTCCGGTGTATCTGGCTGGCGCTGTAGCCGCTGAGCTCCAGGTGCTGAGCCTGTTCTTGCTTTTTATTAAGCAAAGTCTTCCAGATTTGTACACAGTCATAAACCACATGTGGACTGTCCTCTCCTTGTTTGCTGACTGCATAAGTGAAGGCGTAAGGTGTAAATGAAGGCTCAGAAATTTAATAGAAGCCATATTTGTAATTTTAAATTTTCTAGTGGCTACCTTAAGTAAAAAGAAACAGGTAAAGTTAATACATGTTTTTAGTCGTTATAGCCAAAGCATCATTTCAACATGCAAGCTTTACCTTTTTTTTTTTGTACTAGTCTTTCAAATCTTGTGAACATTTTCTGCTTACAGCCTATTCCACTTGGACTACCCAGTTTTTATGCACTGCATAGCCATGTGTGCATGACAGTGCCTGGAGATGAGAAGCTCTGTGCAGAGAGCTCAGGTCTGGGGGACTCGGTAGAGAACTTAGTGAAGGGTGGCCAGGGTTTGGCTAGATGGACTAGCATGAGAAAGTGAAATGGAGTGGTAACAAGTACAGGGTGAGTAGTGAAGGTGTGGGGTGGTAAGAACGAGGGATAGGGAAATTGGGGTCTAGAGTGGAACGTCTCGAATGCCATTTTGTGGAGTTGGAACCTTACTCTGTAGGTGTCGGGGACCCTGTCAGGACTTGTGATCTGGGAATAATGTCATCAGACACGGGGAGGTCGGGGAACACAGATGGTAGACATGTTTTGCAATCCAAACCACAGACAAAAAGGCCTTACCTAGGACCGAGGCAGTGGTGTGGGAAAGGAGAGTGGGTCTCGGAAATATTCTGGAGGGTGTTGGGGGTTTCAAGACTGAGTGACAAGAAGGGTATCTGTGCAGATCGAGATTGGGAACTAAAGGAGAAGTGGTTTGGGAATAAATCTAGTATAGAGGCTGGCGGGTTCGAACCTGGCCTGGGCCAGCTAAAATAACAGTAACAACTGCAACAACAAAAAATAGAGGGGCGGGATGGCCGGCGCCTGTGGCTCAGTGAGTAGGGTGCGGGCCCCATATACTGAGGG